TTTTAAGGTGAGAATACATAAAACGCTTTTTTGACTGTCTTAAGTCATCGGCTTGGTTCTTCTTCGAAAAAGAACAATTAGGTGTAGGACCAAAATCGATCTAAATCAACCTTAAACTCTTTTGTTTCTCTACGAAGAAGTAAGCCGATGCGCTTGCTTTAGGTGATCAATACTTTGGTATTTTTTAGTGCCAACCTTGCTTTCCAAAATACTCCAGACACAATAGTCCAACGGATTGGTATTCGGAAATTTTGGTGGCCGTTGTGCGCTGGGAATGAATCGAGGAACCTCATTTTGTAACCATTCTTGGCAGACGCGTTCCTGATGGTGCTGAGTCCTGTGCGAATGTCCAAGGTCTGCGGCCAAGGCTTTAATACACCCTCCAGAATATTTTCGCGATAATATTCGGCATTTGTTCTAACGGCACGGTCAATTAATACGACCATCGGCAGTTATGGCGGTCCACACCATGACCGGCGCTTGAGTTCTGGTGGCTAACCGAAGGTGCACATTTTCAGCTGACCTCTTTGGCAAGTAAACACGATCATTTTGTTTGTTCACAAACTGCTGGACAATGAATGTTTTTTCATCGGAAAAAGCGAAATTCGGCAGTTCACCACTTTCGTCCAAGTGATGCTAGGAACACAATTGGAGCGAACGACGAATTTTTTCGCGGCGTATGTTCGTCGTCAAAAATAAAACACATATGTGTATATGGAAGTGCACACAATCACGGCACCGGCGAAAATTTCGTCGGTCGCCGCGAACTCAATTAGCTTTATTTCTATTTCATACGCCGGCGACCGGCGAACAAAACAGTACAAGGTGGCCATACTTGTACGAATTTTATGTGTTTTAGTAAATAAAGTTACTTTTTACTTTAAAATTTGTTATGGTCACTCTACTATCTGTTACTCGTATAAAAAAACATAATTAATTTTTTTATTTATTTGTGTACTTGCGCCTGAGTGAAGATGGATATCAGTGAATTTATAATAGAGAAGATGGACATAAGTGAAATTATAATAGAGAACGTAAAGAATTATGTGTTCTTGTATAATTCATTGTAGTCAACAAATGAGCAAAAAGTAAACAACTTCATCAGCTGTTTTATAATTTCGTCGGTATTGTGTTCCATACGACGAATTTTCGCGGCGCATTTTGTCGCCGCGTAGGGCGAAATTCGTCGTTCGCTCCAATTGTGTTTCTAGCATGAAGCAGCTCTTTAACTCTTCTGAGTCTATTTTCTTTCTGTTGCGGTGTAAGTTCTTGCACTTTTTGGAATTTCAATGGCTTTACCCCAAGCTCATTTTTCAATATTTGCCGAATGGAATATCGCAATATTCACGACAATATTCACGCTAACGAGCCATTTTTCGGCTACTGCGACGCGGGTTTCGATCAAGTCGCTTTTCGAACCATTTCTGCTGATGCTGCATCTCTCCCTGCGTGTATGGTAGAAGAATATAGGTAGACGCGTCGACACAGCTGCTGGGACAATGAACTGTCAAATCAATTTTGGAATTGAAAATGTTGAATGAAAAATTATTTAAATTTGTAAAAATTGTTGAAAAACGCGAATTATAATTTCCTCCGACTGACGTAGTATAAGAAAGCATATAAAAATCTACTTATATTTGAAAAAAACATTTAGTTTAATTTTTTTTGACATATCAATGCTCCCAAGCGTTGATGCATCTACCTGCATTCTTCTGCCATGGTGTGTATAAAATATGATATGAGAAGCAGTTTTTAGCGGTTTTTTACCTCTGAACAGTTGGCATCCCTGTGTCACACACAATAATCGAGAGAGGTAGAGAAACGTGTGAGATTCTCAAACCACCTACCTCCGTGGTGTCGAAAACGTTTTTAAAGAGAAAATCGCTGTAATGTAATCGCCCAAAAATATTATTATATTTTGATAAATTCAGGAGGCCAACAACAACATCTATGTGTATTTTGGCCAAAAAGAGTCTGGGTTGGTGTAAGTGAAATTGAAATAATCCGTGTGATTTGTTTACACCGGAGATAAGGAAACCAAACAAATTGCAATTAGTGTTGCCAACTTAGCTATTTTTAAAGCAACAACGTTTATTAGGGGAAACAGTAGAAGGGCATCATGAGCATATGTGATCAAATTTCCAAACAAAAAGAAAACTAGGCCAAAGCAAGTTGAGGACGTCCACAATTTTTTTTAAATATGTAAAAATTATGGCGATTAAATTTGTTGCAGTTTTTTTATCTCACCCTGTAATCATAGTTGCTATGATTTAATTCTCACAAATTCCCTATACAAACCTTTTGTTTGTTATGTGAAGCTCTACTCAATATATGCCAAGCGGTGTAGGATATAATAAAGTTGGCCCGCCTGACTTTCTTCGCTTGCATTTGTCCAAAAAACAAACAAAAAAATCAAATTTACAAAATTGAACCCCAAAATGTTGTTTTTACAATATATACATTCATGGCTATATTCTCCAATTTGTATTTTATTTATTTTTTTATTAATAACTTAACTCTGTTTATTTTTTTTTAAATTAAAATATTTTCATTGTATTTCTTTTTTTAGCGTATTAATTTTTCTTACATTTTGTTGTTGTTTTTGCTTAAATTTTGTTGTTTTGTTTGTATTCGCTTAGACCGTACATAATTTATCACCTAAAACTAAAGTTAATCTTTTTGTTTTCTTTACAACTATTATTTAATGGGCATTCTTGCATTTAGTTTTTATTTTTTAGACAAAATATTTTTAATAATTTTATAATTTTTTTTTTTTTTTAGATTGCAAAGCTTATTTGTGTGTGTTTGGGAGGGGAGGGGATAATATAGTTTAACAGACTTATGTATATAAATATAATTATAACTAAGAACTTTTTTTTAATTTTACAAATCCAATTTCGGGTGAAAACTTTTTTAATGAAAATATTCGATTAACACAATATAAAATGGTGCGGGATGATGAAAATACACTAAAAATAATAGATAGGTCAAAAACTTAAAAAAATAATACTACATTTTTTATAGTAATTTTTAACAAATTTAGGTTTAACTCCTCAGAAATGTTTATTTAATATTGTAATTCAATGCCAGAAAAGGGTTTCCTTAATAATTATTTATATATAGTTTACTAACAAATCAAATCCATTTCTTTTAATTATGCCTTGGGGATATATGCCATCATCTTTAACTTTATATTCGTAAAAGAGCATTAATGTTTTATATAAAGCTACAGGTAACATTCTTTGGCCTTTATCACAGTTAAATGCAAATGGATTTGATTTGTTAAACTCGAATAAGAAAGAAAAACAAACAAGTAAAAAAGCTGTGGTATCCATTACGAACTTCAAACACCAAATTTGAAATAATTCCAGTGAATAATGTCGCTGAAATCATCAAAATACCGAATATCAGGAGGTAGCGTTATATGGGGGCTATAAGAAGACGTAGACCTGCACAGACAATTTTCTGTCTTAGACTGCAGTATCCATTACGAACATCAAATACCAAATTTGAAAGAATTCCGGCGAATAATGTCGCTTAAATCACCAAAATACCGAATATCGGGAGGTATCGTTATATGGGGGCTATACGAAGACGTGGACCTGAACAGACATTTTTCTGTCACAGGTTGTAGTATCCAGTACGAACATCAAATACCAAATTTGAAACGATTACGATGAATAATGTCGCTAAAATCATCAAAATACCGAATATCAGGAGGTACGGTTATATGGGGGCTATAAGAAGACATAGACCTGCACAGACAATTTTCTGTTTTAGGCTATAGTATCCAGTACGAACATCAAATACCAATCTATATGTTAGGCTTATTTAGAAAATAGCGTTAAACAAATTTACATTGTCATAAAATAAGGCCGTGTTTTAGGTTAATTTTATTACAGTACGAAATGACCCACAAAACGATATTTTTGGGAAATATTCCCAATGGAGGAAATGTTCTACATCAAATTTCACTAGAAGTCTTCGACGAAAAGAATTCTCTATACATTCGGCATATTTAGAAAATAGCGGTAAACAAATTTACATTTTTACAAAAAACACGGCTGTTTTAGGTTAATTTCATTAAAGTTCGAAATGACCCACAAAACGAAATTTTTGGGAAATATTTCCAATGAAGGAAATGTTCTACATCAAATTTCACTAGAAGTCTTCGACCAGAAGAATTCTCTATACATTTGGCATATTTAGAAAATACCAGTAAACAAATTTACATTGCAATAAAACAAGGGCGTTTTTTTAGTTAATATCATTAAAGTTCGAAATGACCCACAAAACGATATTTTTGGGAAATATTCCCAATGGACGAAATGTTCTACATCAAATTTCACTAGAAGTCTTCGACCATAAAGACTTCTCTATATATTAGGCATATCTAGAAAATACCAGTAAACAAATTTACATTGCAATAAAACAAGGCCGTTTTTTAGTTAATATCATTAAAGTTCGAAATGACCCACAAAACGATATTTTTTGGAAATATTCCAAATGGAGGAAATGTTCTACATCAAATTTCACTAGAAGCCGTCGACGAAAAGAATTCTCTATATATTCGGCATATTTAGAAAATACCAGTAAACAAATTTACATTGTCATAAAACAAGGCCGTGTTTTGGTTAATTTCATTAAAGTTCGAAATGATCCAGAAAACGATATTTTTGGGAAATATTCCAAATGTAGGAAATGTTCTACATCAAATTTCACTAGAAGTCTTCGACCAAAGGAATTTTCTATATGTTAGGCTTATTTAAAAAATAGCGTTAAACATATTTACATTGTCATAAAATAAGGCCGTGTTTTGGTTAATTTCATTAAAGTTCGAAATGATCCAGAAAACGATATTTTTGGGAAATATTCCAAATGTAGGAAATGTTCTACATCAAATTTCACTAGAAGTCTTCGACCAAAGGAATTTTCTATATGTTAGGCTTATTTAAAAAATAGCGTTAAACATATTTACATTGTCATAAAATAAGGCCGTGTTTTAGGTTAATTTCATTAAAGTTCGAAATGACCCACAAAACGATATTTTTGGGAAATATTCCCAATGGAGGAAATGTTCTACATCAAATTTCACTAGAAGTCTTCGACCAAAAGAATTCTCTATACATTCGGCACATTTAGAAAATACCAGTAAACCAATTTACCTTGTCATAAAACAAGGCCGTTTTTTGGTTAATTTCATTAAAGTTCGAAAGGATCCACAAAACGATATTTTTGGGAAATATTCCCAATGAAAGAAATGTTCTATATAAAATTTCACTATAAGTCTTCGACGAAAAGAATTCTCTATACATTCGGCATATTTAGAAAATACCAGTAAACAAATTTACATTGTCATAAAACAAGGCCGTTTTTTTTGGTTAATTTCATTACAGTTCGAAATGACCCACAAAACGATATTTTTTGGAAATATTCCAAATGGGGGAGATATTCTACATCCAATTCCAAATTAGGCAAAGCAAAGAAATCTCTTAAATTATAACTTTTTAGAAAAATAGCTATATCAATTAATTGGCCAACAAAGCCACAGCTAAAGAAAGATATGTCAATGGAGAAATCACTGGACATAAATGTAGTCTACGAACAAATGAAATCCACAAAAGGCTTAAATCCCAAGCAAAAATATCTATATTTTTTGGCAATTTTTTCTTGGTCCAATTTCCGACAATATTTTAGAATTTGTCTTTGCCTGGCTTTTGATTGAAAATTCTTTGTCACATACGTTTGAGATCGTTAAATACATATTTAATGTTGAAAATTTCTTCGATAATTAAAAAAAAAAAAAAAACAAAATGATATTTTACAATTCACAATAACACCACTATAGTTAACAATTTGATTTTATAGGTTTTTTTTGGGGATTGATGATATTGCTGTTATATTACTTCGTTTAGGTTACCTGTGGATGACATTAGATATAGTTGCTAAAAACAATAGAATAAAGTAAATGAATTAAATAATTATTATCCCTTACATAGTGAACTTAAATATTTTAGATTTATGTTATCATTTTTTTAGTGTTTCTTGATTTCTATGATTTAAAGTGCCTGTAGTAAACACTTACAAAAAAAAAGAAAGGAAAAATAAGTGTATTTTAAATTTAAAAATTAAAATAATAAAATACATGATGTTCTTGAATATAAATAATTTGTTATTTTTTGTTAACATATTTTTTTCTTATTTTCTTAATGAGAATGAAACTTAGATAATTAAAATAATTATAATTTTTAATCTTAATCTTGTTGATAATATTTTTGTTTTTTGTTGGTTTTTTTTCTTTTTTTTAGATTCATAAGGAAAAGGCAGTTCAGATACTTAACATTTTTTTTGTTCATATTTCATTTCATTTAATCTCTTTTGTTAATTTTGTTATGAACATTAAATGGAATAATAATAGTTGTTATTTTTTAGAGCATGTCCCGTAAATGTGTTTGAATTGAATATCCAACAAATTTACGGGACATGCTAAATCGTTTATTTGCAAATTGCATGGGTTTCATCGGGGAGAGGAAGTTTGTCAAAGGTATGGTCTTTTATTTTCTGTTTAAGATTTCAATTTTTTTTTTAGCTGCCACTTGTGCAGTGCATTGAGAAGAAGAAGGAAGAGAGTTTTTTTGTTATAGTTTTTAATACAAATATCAATCAATTTCGTTTCGTTTTTTTTTTTTTTTGGACTAACAATTTTTTTTTCTCACACAATACAATATTAAATATCTTTTTAGGATTTGATTTTTACAAATATTTTTATAAATTCTTCTTCTTCTTTAAGTTTTTCGTTTCGTCTAGCTTTCAATGATTTTTTTTTGTTTTCTGGCTTTTGGGGTTAATGCGGTTTGTTGTTGTTGTTCTTGCTAGTTTGGCTTACCATTCATTTATATAAATTGGTAATATAAATATTTTTCGAATCATTACCATCCATTCCCAATCATACAACCGAGTCCTTGCGTATCCTGTAAAGAGAAAATGGAATTAGATTGGTCAATAAATATTGCAAGGGTTTTCGAAAGGTAACATCCCTTAGAAGGGGGAGGAGGAGGAGTGGCGTTAAGGGGTGCAAATATTTTACATAAAATTTCACCACAAGGAAAATATTAGGAAATCAAAAATATACGCCCAAATTTGGATATGCCAAAAAATATTATAAAGTGAAAAGAATTATGTTCAAGATGTGGTGAGTTTATATAGGAATTAAATTTGGCTGGAAAATATTCCGCCAAAATCTTCCCCAGTAACTTCAATACTGATCCATAAAATAGTTATTAATTTTGTTGCATTGATGGTTTCCAGGCTCTCGCGAAAGTCAGACACATTATGTAATTTTAACATTTGGTGTGTTTTTGATCAACACAAATGGCAGATTGATCAAAAACACGCCTATATTTACTTAAGTATTGCTGTTACAAAAGAATTTCTAATTTTTACACGTTCCGCATGGCCAAATTATTAAAATGCAATGATTTCCCAGGTGTGGTGAGTTCATGTAGAAATTCACCACACCTCAAAAATTTATGAAAATGCAAAACAAATCGTTTGGGTGTAAAGAAATAATGCATCATAAAATTTTTGAGTGACATATGGACCACAAACTATGAGGCATTTACTTTAGGATTGATGCAACGAATGCGAATGTAAAACAAGGCCCATCTTTGAATACCCACCACCATTTTCAACAATTTTGGCAATTTTCAAAAACAATAAAATCCCTTAAAAATTCTGTTAAAATATTAAAAATAACGAATGTAGCCGTTATATTAGGGTGTATACGATGACATGGACCTGCATAGGTAACTTTTGTCATAAACCATTACAATATTCAAATACGAAACTTGAATAAAAAAAATCGGTGAATAATGTCACTAAAATCATACAAAATACCGAATATCGGGAGGTACCGTTACATGGGGGCTATACGAAGACTTGGACCTGCACAGAAAATTTTCGGTCTTAGGCTGTAGCATCTATTACGAACTTCATATACCAAATTTGAAACATTTCCGGTGAAAAATGTCGCAAAAATCATCAAAATACCGAATATCGGGAGGTACCGTTATATGGGGGATATACGAAGACGTGGACCTGCACAGACAATTTTCTGTCATAGGCTGTAGCATCCATTACGAACATCAAATACCAAATTTGAAACAATTCCGGTGAAAAAAAATCGCTAAAATCATCGAAATACCGAACATTGGGAGGTACCGTTATATGGGGGCTATACCAAAACGTGGACCTACATGGCCCATTTTCAATACCAAAAGTCCTGCAGACATTATATACATTTGAGTAAAATTTTATCAATCTACTTCAATTCGTTCGGAAGCTAGACTGATTTCCACAGACGGACGGACATCGATAGATCGTCTTAGAATTTTACACTGATCCATATACTTTGTGGGGTCTAAAAAGCATATCTCGAGGTGTTACAAACGAAATGACAAACTTAATACACCCTCCTTAGAATGGTGGAGGGTAAAAAAAGAGTAAATTGCTTGACAAACATACCACATATAATTCTCAGTTTGAGGTGCCCTCATAACACCAACACCGCCACCTAAACGTCGATAATTCATGCAGCCACACAGCCGCCATTGATTTGTCTCTGTATCATAAACTTCAATGGTTTTCAAATATGCCGAACCATCAAAACCGCCAACAGCATACAGTTGGCCATTGACCACAGCTAAGCCGACCTGGGGATGATAAAAAAAAAAAAAACAAATAAATAAATAAATAAACAAAACTTAAATGGCAATTTCGCTTACCCCACTACGACGTGATGTCATGGCCACTATGGGACTCCAAGTATTTGTGTGGGGATTATAACGCTCAGCCGATGACAATTCCATGCAATCATCCCGACCACCCACAGCATAAATGTAATTATTGAAAACGGCACAGCCCAAATGTTTGCGACGTGTGGACATTGGACTAACGGCAACCCATTTGTTTTGCCTGTAAACAAAAATTGGAAATATTTAGATTATATATTTTTAAATAAAGACAAAACATGTTCCAGTTCTAAATAGCTTTTATATGCCTACATGGGAATTGTGGGAATAATTTTTGAATTTTAAAATTTAAAGAGTTTTTTATAGAAATTCACCAGTTGGTGCAGAATACGAAGTGATCTTCAAAAATACAAATTTCCATCATTTTTAAGGTGTGGTGAGTTTCTATGCAATTTCACCACACCGCTGAAAATGTTGCAAAATGCCGGGAATTGTTCAGGCATTAAGAAAATATATGTCAAATATCCTGTTTATGTCTACAAGGTAATTGTGGGAATAATTTATGAATTTTAAAATAGAAAAAGTTTTTCAAAAATTCACCACTTAACTAATGGTTTTGCAGAATACAAAGTGATATTGAAAAATACTTAGAAATAATATTTAAATGCAAATTCCATCATTTTTAAGGTGTGGTGAGTTTTTAGGCAAATTCACCACACCCTGGAAAAAGTTGCAAAATGCAGGAAATTGTTCAGGCATTAAGAAAATATATGTCAAATATCTTTTTTATGCCTACAAGGAAATTGTGGGAATAATTTGTGAATTTTAAAATTGAAAAAGTTTTTCAAAAATTCACCACTTAACTAATGTTGGTGCAGAATATGGACTGATGTTCAAAACCACTTAGAACTAAAATTTAAAAGCAAATTCCATATTTTTTAAGTGTGGTGAGTTTTTAGGCAAATTCACCACACCCTAGAAAAAGTTGCAAAATGCAGGAAATTGTTCAGGCATTAAGAAAATATAATTCATAAAATTTTTAGATGACAAATATCACAGAAACGCTCCTCTAATGACATTAATAACTGCTTGATATGGTCACTTTTGACTTTCGATAATTTTTAATGCATTTTAAAAGCAAGTGCAATGATTTTCAAGGCGTGGTGAGTTTTTATAGGAACTCACCACACCGTTATTTTTTCTGCTTTATTTTATTGAAATTAAGAAAATATAAGAATTTAAAAGTTTTACCTGGGATCATAACGTTCCACAGTATTCAAAGGACACTGGCCATCTGAGCCGCCAATGGCATATAAATACCCACCCAATACTGCAACAGCCACACCCAAACGGCGCGTAGTCATGGGAGCAACCTGGAAAACAAAACATAAATTTATTGCAATTTTTTTGTTCTGTTTTAATATTGAATTCAAATCATACCTTTGACCATTTGTTTTCTTTGGGATCGTAACGTTCTACATGATTCAAGCACTGGACACCATCTTGGCCACCCACAGCATATAGGAAACCATCGAGTACCGCCACACCAACACTGGTGCGGCATGATGTGGTGGGCGCAACATCACATGACCATTGATTGGTCTGAGGATCATAACGTTCAATGCTGTTCAAGTAACTTTGACCATCGTGGCCACCAACAGCATAGAGCAAATCATTGAGAACGGCAACACCAACACCGCAGCGCCTCTTACTCATGGGTGCCACCATTTTCCAGTCGTTTGTCTGCGGATCGAAACGTTCCACCGAGGCAATGGCATCGCCCGAACACCAGCCACCAACGGCAAACAGAACCTCGCCACGTCGGGTGGGTTTGCGCGGACGGGTTCGCGGACCCTGCATGAGGGGACGTTCTTGTGGAAGCAGGAGATAATTTTTGGCCTCATCGACCAGATCACGGCAGGCCTCATCGGAACGTACCAGTAAATCTGAACCCACGGTGCCAACCAAAAATTTCGGAGACAATAATGGAAGACGGACATGTTGTAGAACCTTTTGACAAGAGAAGTCTTAGTTATTACAGTCAAGTGCATGAGAATTAAAAAAGGTGGGTTCTCACCTGAGCTAAATGTTGTCTCCGATCGGCAATGTTGTATTTAAGCCAAGACATTACGGCATTGAAAACCTGTTCCTCGGAACGCACATTCAATTCATCGCTGCATATAATGTCGACCAATTGGCCCACGGGCAGCAATAGGAATTCTTCGCTCTCCATGACCTCTTGGAAATTGTGTTGGGTAAACTTATCGGCAATGCGCAAGAGTTCACGGCACGAATGGGTATCGGCAAAGGCCCGAATACCCAAACAATTGGTGGGATCCAATTGTCGTTTAAGAAACTCACAGCATATATCCTGGATTTCGACGAGCTGTAGCAAACAGGCTGCCGGCAGCAATGTCTGGACGTTGGACTCTTCCACAACGATATGGGCGGTGTAGCAAAAATCAATCAATAGTTCCATGGCGTTTTCATCGATGTCACGTATTGTGACTTCAGTTTGTCGCGACTCTTCCAATTCGCCGGTGAACATGGCTCGGAAATATGGCGAACATGCCGAGAGTATGACACGATGGGCAAATATTTTCCGGCCACCAACATTGAGCACAACATCGCACAGCTCACGATGGCGCCTTAACATATTCAATTCGGATAGGGTCACTTTGGGGTGTTTGTCGGAGGTGTGGGCCATACGAGCCGGTGATTGGGGGCGATCCACGCCCCCAGCGCCAGCTGTAGCGCCCGCACCGCCATTTGCACCCGGCAGCAACGGGTCACCCATTCGGTTCGCTGCTAAGCGCAGCGGGGCAGATGCCCAACCCCACACCGCGTCTATCTGTGAAAAAGAATGAAAAAAAATGAATTAAAAATAATTTTCAATTTTTTTTTTTTATTTTAACAAATTGAATTCTTGTTTTTGTTATTTTGTATATTGTGCAACAAAACCCCAAATCACGCAATCCCACAAATTGAAGTTTGTTTTGTTATCTAAAAATAGAAATTATTTTGAAAAATCTATGAATGTATTTCTGCTTTTCGGAACTTTTCTTCCCTCCGCCTCGTTCTTTGTTCATTTTATTTTAAGAAAAAAAAAAAAAAAAAAAAAAAAAAACAAAGCAAGACATCGTCACGTGCGAAGAAGCTATACGTTAAAGGCGGTTGTTGATCCGCAGAAGTGAACCGGGCATGATATTTGTAACGTTTCAAATTTAGCGAAAAAAAAAAACAAAAAAAAAAACATTTTGACGATTTATTTACTTTTCAACCTAAAATGCGAAAAAGGAAAGAGCAAAGACAATAGAAGAAGATGACAACGCGATAAGAAAACATATTGTGTTGCAAAGTCAAAACAAATTGTTATTCACTTCGACCCTTTTTATACCCTCCACCATAGTAGGGAGGGTATATTAAGTTTGTCATTTCGTTTGTAACACCTCGAAATATACATTTTAGACCCAACATATATTCTTGATCAGCATAAAATTCTATGTCGATTTAGCGATGTCTGTGCGCCCGTCCGTCTGTGGACATCATTCTAGCTTCCGAAAGAATTAAAGTAGATTGATAAAATTTTACTCAAATGTATATTATGTCTGCAGGACTTTTGGTATTGAAAATGGGCCATGTAGGTTCACGTTTTGGTATGGCCCCCATATAACGGTACCTCCCGATATTCGGTATTTTGATGATTTTAGGGACATTATTCACCGGAATTATTTCAAATTTGGTATTTGAAGTTTGTAGTGGATACTACAGCCTAAGATAGGAAATTATCTGTGCTGGTCCACGTCTTCGTATAGGCCCCATATAACGGTACCGCCCCATATTCGGTATTTTAATGATTTTAGCGACATTATTCACCGGAATTGTTGCAAATATGGTATTTGAAGTTTGTAGTGGATGCTACAGCCTATAACAGAATATCGTCTGTGCAGGTCCACGTCATCGTATAGCCCCCATATAACGGTACCTCCCGATATTCGGTATTTTGATGATTTCACCAACTTTATTCACCGGAATCGTTTAAAATTTCGTATTTGTGCGTCACAGTGGCCTAAAAATGGCTCGTGAGCTGAACATATCGCAATATTCCATTCAGCAATTTATTGAAAAATGAGCTCGGGGTAGAGCCATTGAAATTCCAAAAAGTGCAATAACTTACAACGCAACAGAAAGAAAATATATTCAAAAGAGCTGAAGAGTTGCTTCGCTTGGCCAAAAGTGGTGAACTGCCATATTTGGTTTGGTGGTCTCCGATGAGAAAACATTGCCCAGCAGTTTGTAAACAAGCAAAATAACCGTGTTTACTTGCCAAAGAGGTCAATTGAAAATGTGCATATTCGCTGGGGCACCAGAACTCAAGCGCCAGCCATGGTGATGTGTGGGCCGCCATAACAGCCTATGGTCGCTCTCCGCTTGTATTAATCAGCATCATGGCATCAGAACAAATGCCGAATATCATCGCGAAAATATTCTGAAGGGTGTATCAAAGTCTTGGGCACGCAAACATGTAGGCCGCAGACCTTGGACATTTCAACAGGACTCAGAACCATCGCACTCAGCACGCGCCACCCAAGAATGGTTACAAAATGAGGTTCCTCGCTTCATTCCCAGCGCACAAAAGCCACCAAAATCTCCGGATACCAATCCTTTGGACTATTGTGTCTGGAGTATTTTTTTTTTCATTCATTTAATGAAATTTAAAAAAAAAATATATGAAAAAATTATGGCGTTTAAAATTGTTGCAGTTTTTTTTTTATCTCACCCTGTATGTCACACTACACAGGGAATAAATTGCACTTAAAGTAAATTTTGTGAAATAAAATGTTTAGATAAAACATTCCATTAAACATCCTTGGGCATATTTTTAAATGTTTCTTCAGGCTTTAGCATGTTTCTAAGGGCTTTAGCATTCAATATTTATAAGTACATTTGATTTTAATGCATACATTTTCTTTCAGGAATACTCAAAATCGTCTTCCTTTTTCTTTCTAATTGGAAAGATTTAGAAACGATAGTACTTCATGCCTTTTGATGAGGGAAGAAACAAATCTTGAAGAACACATGTTGGCCGCCATCAGCTATTGGAGCTATTAACCTTGATATAATCATATTACATGTGTACATACTACCCATATATATATATATATATACATATATGTATATATTTGTTTATGGCCGCATCCATTATTTGCCCTTCCCTGACCTAATTGGCATCATCAGCAGCAGCTGAAGAAACAACAACAAACCCATTTATAAAAATAAACAACTAAAAAGTGATGAAGAAAAGGCAAGTGGTATTCAATGGAATCATGCAATTGTAGGTACATTGTTGTTTTGTAAAGACACACAGGGGTAAGCAAAGAAAACGGAAGCGGAAAATGTACTTAAATTAAAACAAAATAAAGATAAAACTTATTATGAAGAAAAATGCAGTAACAATTAAATACTAACAAATTCGTCTAAAAATTTACAATGGACAGAGGGAGACACTTCAAGCCACAAAGACTAAATTAAATGTGCCATGAACAGCTTTTGATATTATTAACAGGCATTGGCTGGCATTTTCATAGATACGGCCATTGCAAAATGGGTAACAGCACACCCACCACAACTCCATGGTTTAATTTCATGCCATGCCTAGTTTTTTTTTAGCCATACATTCTATTATTCACCAAAGAAATACAAATTTTTCTTTTCTTTTCGATACCTTTACCTTTGCGTCTTTCTGGGCCACAAAACCAAATTCACAACACCACAAGCCACAAAGCCAAAATCGTTTAGTTTTTGCAGGAATAGTTGCAGTAATTCACGCACACGCACGTCGCCGAGATGTTAAGCAAAAGAAAAACTCTTTTTTTGTTCAAATTGTTTCCAATTTTCCCAAAAATTTTCAGCACCAAATTGTTGGAATAAACTCAAACTCATAGGGAATGTAAATATCTACATGGAACTAAGGTGGAATGGCGGAAAACGTAATAAGAATAATAAATGCAAAAGGGGATTAACACTGACGTGTTATCAAACTTCAATGAATGCTGTGCCGTGAATGAAAATCAAAGACGTTAAGATTTGTGTAGACGGCGTTGAGCCGAACCACCGTAAACTAATAACACAAATTTAATTTGATTTGATTTTTTTCATTAAATTTTACTTTTTCCTATCGTATCGTATTTCTATCGTGTATCGTTTTTTTTTTTGTAATTTTATTTATCTATGTATACAAAAATAGCAGCGCAATTCAAAAAAAGTCTGCTTTTATTATTTTCAAAAGTAACTGATGAACCATGGTACAATGAGATAAAGATAACCTTATTTCAAATCAGCGTTCCCAGCTCTGCATTTACCTTGTAAAATTTTAATGCATAAAAACAGTTTCCATCTCTGATTTTGTATGTATATAATGGATTTTTGAATATAAATGTTGACAATGAAATGTTATCAAATGCATAAATTTGAAAAATATATCTTTTGTATTTCCGTATTAGTCAAAAGGCCAGCATCTAACAATGGAATGGATTTGGAACAGGCCACATGTTATACCAAAGGCATTTCCTTTCTTATAAGAAAACCTATAAAAATCGACATACTTTTGAAAAAAAAAAAAGGTAAAAAGCAATAAGTTCGGCCGGGTCGATCTTTGAATACCCTCCACCATTTTGAATGATTTTGGCAATTTTCAAAAAAAATAAGATCCGTTAAAAATTCTGTTAAAATCTTAAAAATACAGACCTGCATAGGCAACTTTTGTCATAAACCATTACTATATTCAAATGCGAAATTTGAAAAAAATGTCGGTGAATAATGTAGCTAAAATCATCAAAATACTGAGTATCGGAAGGTATGGGTATGGATATGGTAACACTTGGACCTGCACAGACAATTTTCTATCATAGGCTATAGTATTCATTACGAACTTCAAACACCGTACCGTTATATGCGGGCTATACGAAGACTTGGACCTGCACAGACAATTTTCTGTCATAGGCTGTAGTATTCATTTCGAACTTAAAATACCAAATTTGAAACATTTCCGGTGACTAATGTCGCTAAAATCATCAAAATACGGAATATCGGGAGGTATCGTTATATGGGGGCTATACGAAGACGTGAACCTGCACAGACAATTTTCTGTCATAGGCTGTAGTTTCCATTACAAACTTCCAATTCCAATTTTGAAATATTTCCGGTGAATAATTTCGCTTAAATCACCAAAATACCGAATGTCGGGAGGTACCCTTATATGGGGGCTATACCAAAACATGGACCTATATGGCCCATTTTCAATACCAAAAGGCCTGCAGTCATAATATACATTTGAGTAAACACAAATCTTTCAATTTCATTCAATGAAGTTTGATAACACGTCAATGTTAAGATCGTTAATCTCCTTTGCATTTATTATTCTTATTACGTTTTCCTCCATTCCACATTAATTCCATCCAGATATTTACATTCCCTATGAGTTTGAGGGTTTTTTTTACTGCCGCTAACAAATTTAATTTAAATATTTTTTCATTAAAAATTAAATTTGTGAAATTAGTTTACAGTGATTTGGCCCAACGCCGTTTACACAAATCTAAATGTCGTTGAATTTCATTCAATGATGGTTGATAACATGTCAATACGTTTTTATTACGTTTTCCTCTATTCCACATTAATTCCATCCAGATATTTACATTACCTATGAGTTTGAGAAGTTTTTACTGCCGTTAACATATTTAATTTAAATTTTTTTCATTAAAAAATGTTAACTCCAAGAATGTTTTGACATTTCCACCAGCTGTGTGTGTTGCGGCAATAATGGAAAGAAAATTAGTGGATTCTGTAATGGAGACGTGACGTGTGCTTTCTTGTTGGTAGTCATTGGTAATGCCGTCATCAATGTTGATAAGGCAGTGCAGTAAATTAAGTTATTGGTCGTTAATTTTGATTTGTAATGCCCCAATGACACCAAAGATTTTGAAAAAATTCTATATATAATATAAAAATATGTGGAATTGACTATCTACATTTGATAAATAAACTTCATTCCACAATTTCTGTTTTCAAATTCTCTTCAATAAAAAAGGTTCAATACCACATTTCAGTTTCTTTGTAAATTTTGGTATATTTTATTTTATATTTTTTTTATGTACTATACACAAACGTTTTGTAAAATATATAAATACTAACCTAAATTGAATTTATTTCAAAATAAAAAAATTGTAACTAAAAGAATTGTGTTTTTCTAATAAGAAAATAAAAAAAAATGAGAAAAACTAAAAAACAATTATTTGTGTTTAAGATTCCTAAAAGATAAGTATTGTTTGTATGATGCTTAATTTAAGTCTCCAGCAAAACTTTGAGAAATATTTACAACATAGGATGTTTGACATATTTTTTAAGCAGCGTGAGTTTGTAAAAATATAAACATTTGGCTTCTATATGTATATATCGTTCCATCCCTTAAGATATTTATGTTTTTTTGTTACACAATGGAAGCCGCCGTAAACCTTTTTCATGGTAAAGAGGTTTAACCCTTTTTGAAATCCAAAATATCATCTATGGCTGCCATTTTACCATCATCCTTTTCAAGTTCTGCCCGTGTACAACGGCCACAGCATGCGGCTGAGGGTTTATTTTCACATTCTCCCAGTGCTGGCGGTTTAAAGTTGGGCGTCCAGGGGCCTAAACTACCACTAGCATAGAAATCCATGGGATATGCATCTTCTTTGGGCGCCTTATTGTGAGGTGTGTATTCAACGTCGCCCAATACCACAGATAATTCGTAGGGATTGAGCAGAGGCTTGTCAAAGGCAGAACCCCAATCAATCGACAAACGAGGGCAGGCAATTTGTACAAATGCATCAATATCATCGAATAATGCCAATTTTTGTGGGAAAATTTCCGACAGCAATATGGTGGTGGTATCAAAGCCCTTGGCCCTCAACCTTTTCTCTAGAAACTTGTGGACCCTGCTGCTGCCTTGGCGTCCCAGTGTGCCCAAAATTATGCCAATTTTCTTGGCATTTTTCGCCTTTTCAATTTCTCCATAACGCATTGATTGCATGGTCTGATGATCATACTGTTCAACGGTGAATTTCTTTTCATAGGGGTCGTATTTGTAGGCCTGCAAGGAGAAAATGTATGGTATTATAATCTATTTTCACATTCAAAATTCTGGTGAACTTACTTTAACTTTTGGATTTGCAATCATGGCAGATTCCAAATGGAAACGACCATCTCCCAGATAAATAATCAGTTTTGTACTTTCCGGCAATGTGGGTGACGTACAGCCCAAAATTTCTCCAGGACTCAGTGGCTTGGCCTGTGGCACAATCACATCAAAACCGGCGGATTTCAATTCGGCCGAAGCAGCCTGCAAGGTGGTCACAAATTGTATGGTACTAACCAAGGCAATTTGTCCATCTTCGGGTTTAAAATTCAATTTCACTGAATCCAAAAAATGCAACGGGTCAATTTTTATGTCCACAAATACATACAACACCTTAATGCCCTCCGTCTGGTCGACTGGTATCAAGCAACTGTGGCCGTAGTGGACGAGCAGTTCAGCTCCCAAGGCCTTGGCCGTGTAATCATCAACGCAACAGGCCCCGTAGGTAACATCACCCATTATGACGGTATCAGCATCGGTGAAACGTTCTATTATATCGCTGATAACCATGGCATACATTAGCAAACCCTCGGGCAGCTGGAGGGCAACACGTTTCGCTTTCATTTCCTTGATACGCCATATTGTCTTGTGTATTTCAAAATTATAATTGGCCGGCAAACGATCGATGGCCTTTTGCAGTAGAGGATCGTCGAGCAGACTCTGTGGTATGCGATTGAGGCGAGCCTTGGGTTTGAATACCTTTTTAGGTTTGGCCCTAACCACAACCACATCGGTGCTAGTGGGAGGCATGATGTCTGCCGTGGTGGATGACGATGAGGAGGATATGGTTTGTGGAGCGGCGTTACTGATATCAGCAGCTGTGGGTTGGACAAGGTCCAACATTTCTATAACTAAATTAAAAAAACGATAAGAAATTAATTAGTCAAAGGGTTTTAATCATTCGCAATTGTACAGGGTGAGATAAAAACAAGTTAAAAAGCAGTAAATACCCTCCACCATTTGGAACGAATTTGGAAATTTTCCAAAAAAAAAAAAAAATAATAAAATCCGTCAAAAATTCTGTTAAAATCTTAAAAATACCGAATATAGCCGTTATATTGGTGGGGTCTATACGACGTGGACCTACATAGGCTTTGTTTGTCATAAGCCATTACCAAATTGAAATTCGAAACTTGAGATAAACAACGAATGATGTAGCTAAAATCTTTAAAATACCGTATATAGGTAGGTATTGTTATATCGGAGCTATACGAAGACCTGGACCTGTATTGAAAATTTTCTGTCACAGGCTGTAGCATCCATTACGAACTTCAAATACGACATCTCAAACAATTTTGGTGAGTATTGTACCTAAAATCATCAAAATACCGAATTTAGGGAGGTACCGAATATATCGGGCCTATACGAAGACCTGGATCTTCATAGACAATTTTCTGTCACAGACTGTAGTACCCATTACGATTTCTAAATACGTAATTTGAAACTACTCCGGTGAATAATGACGCTAAAATCATCAAAATACCGAATATTGGGAGGTACCATTATATGGGGGCTATATGAAGACGTGGACCTGCACAGACAATTTTCTGCCATAGGCTGTAGTATCCATTTCGAACTTCAAATACCAAATTTGAAATAATTCCGGTGAATAATTTCGCTAAAATCATCAAAATACCGAATATCGGGAGGTGCCGTGATATGGGGGCTATACGAAGACGTGGACCTGTATAGACAATTTTCTGTCACAGACTGTAGTACCCTAAAATCATCAAAATACCGAATATAGGGAGGTACTATTATATAGGGGGTATATGAAGACGTGGACCTGCACAGACAATTTTCTGCCATAGGCCGTAGTATCCATTTCGAACTTCAAATACCAAATTTGAAATAATTCCGGTGAATAATTTCGCTAAAATCATCAAAATACCGAATATCGGAAGGTACCCTTATATGGGGGCTATATGAAAACGTGAACATACATGGCCCATTTTCAATACCACAAGTCCTGCAGACATAATTTACATTTGAGTAAAATTTTATCAACCTACATCATTTCGTTCGGAAGCTAGAGTGATTTCCACAAACGTATAGACGGACGGACAGACATCGCTAAATCGACATAGAATTTTATGCTGATAAAGAATAATATATATAGAATAAAGTATATTTCGAGGTGTTACAAACGGAATGACAAACTTAATATACCCTCCGTACTATGGTGGAGGGTATAAAAAAATTCGCTCAATCTAGAAGAGGTATGTTTTTGGGTCATCTAATCTAGCTGTTGGACTTTTGCTCATCTGTTATGCCAGTGAAGAGTTTCAAATCGTTTCGTTCAAATATTTTTTTTTGAAATATTATTATGAAATAGAACCAGTTAAATATTCCATTTACTCTTTGTGTAAACTTAGTTTGTTGAACTTGTCGCACTACCCTCCTCTAATAGCTAACAAAGAAATTAAATTCAAAACACTAGAAAAAAACAAGAGCACCTTGAATTTATGTTGAAAACAAAAAAAAAAAACGAAAACAAATTAATTGACTCACCTTTTTGTTTTGGTTTCAGATTTGATTTCACACTGCGACTGTTGCTTTCCGTTGTCCGTCAGCAGCAACAACAAATAAAAGATTTAGCCAAAAATAATCACAGAATGCAGTCAGCAACCATTCGACAGTAAATAAAATTTAAATATATTTCCGTATTCAACTGTTGTTGTAATGAGGAGCAGAACAACAACGGCAGGTTAGCAAGGTTAAATTTAATGTTCTTTGTAACAGTTTTTTTTTGTTTGACACCTCGTTAAAATAATGTCGATTTAATTTTTTTTACAAAAAAAAAAATCACTTCTTTTCCTAAGTCTGGCAATTTTTTCCTTCAAAACTCTCCGGTATGTAGATGTTACGTTGAAACTTCTGAATTGAATGGAATGACTGACTGGGAACTCTCAAACAAACATCAAGCAAATTGCATTATGCTGTTTGCTTTGTATGTGGCGGCGGCGGCGACGTATGTTTGTCGTTATGTTCGTAATGTGGTGGTTGAAGAACCATCCATTAACAATATCACAAAAGTCACGTAGGCCCAAAACAGAGCTCGTACTCTTTCTCACTTTCTTGAGTTTTTTTATATGAAAATTTAATTGTTTTTAAATGATTTTTTTATTAAATTGCCGTTTAAATTTAATAGCTATTATTGCAACTTTATGATAGTGAACACAATTATCTAATGACACACTATTATTAACAAGTTTTTTATGCAAAAACAAAAAGTAAAACGTGCAAACTCAGTTCACTTGATATATTCATAAACAGGGAAATGTGTGAACTAGTTCTAAATACGTTATCATTTTCTGTGGACCAAACAGGTGTTAGGTTTTCTAGGGATATGTAGTTCGACTTTTTTTGCCTGATAGTTTTACTGTGTTTTCGCGTACTGGCAAGGTGTTAAAGTAAAAAAAATTAAAATTTTAGAATTGTTGAAGAATATAGGTAGATGCATGGTAGAAGAATATAGGAAGTCGCATCGACACAGCTGCTGGGACAATGAACTGTCAAACCCATTTTAAAATTGAAATTTTTTAATGAAAAATTATTCAAATTTGAATAAATTAAAAAAATTGGATATCTTCACAACCTCCGATTAGCCTCGTGTAGGAAAACTATACAGATCCATGGTACAATAAAATAGTGAGGTAGAGCTACCAGCTGATTACATTTTTTTAGGTGTGCCCGACTTTTGCCAGTTTTGTGTATGTGTTTATTGTTTTGAAAAATGAAAACAAAATATTTTCAAAACCAATGAGTGGAACACATGTACATTGCGGCTCGCGCATTAAGGCTATTAACCAGTATAGCCATGAAATTGAAAGATTAAACAGTTTGGATTATATTTTTGAGAGAAAATCCAGGCATTTCATAAATTTTCGCGCTAACTAACTCAATTTAAAAATAAAAAATATATGAAAAAAAAAATGGAAACAACTTGTTGTATATATAAGAAGCGGGCGTAGTATCAGGGCTGTATTTCTGTAGTTTTACGAAGCCTTTTTATTGTACCATGTACAAATCTAAAAGTTTGACATTTCACTCTTCCTAACCTTTGAAGCTTCTACCTGTATTATCCTACCATGAGGTAGATGCATGGCTCAATATGAAATGATGTTGAACTTCCAAAAAATTAGGAAAATGCAACTCTGTGCTGGAGTCTTATAGTGCCAAATAGACATTTAAATATACAACAGTTGGTTTTGTTCATTTTTTAACAAAATTCTTATATTGGAGAAAACCCACGAAACAAGAATAGCATTTTGGGGTTAATCCACAAGATTTAATTTAAAATAGTAGGACAATATATTTTTATCCCAACAAAATTTTACTATGTGTTGTCTATTAACGTCGAAAATATGCATTTATTTTGCAACGGAATTTGAAATAATTTGAAATTTTTATATTTTTTTATTCAAAACCATACACACACATACACAAAATGTGTGTATGTTTTAGACAAAATAAGGGCATCAAAAGGAAATAAAATGTATTTAGGATCTATCTTTATACTACCTTCTGTAGATCTTGGGAACATTGATATGTCAAAATTTTAAAATGTTTTGCCAAAAATAGTTAGATTTTTATATGTTTTTCTTATACGACGCCTATCGGAGATTGTTATATCATGCATTTTTCACAATTTTTACAAATTTCAATATTATTTCATTCAAAATTTTCAATTCCAAAATTGAGTTGACAGTTCAATATCGCAGCAGCTGTGGCGATCCGACTACCTGCATTCTTCTATTATGATAGTACATTGATATGTCAACAACATTGATATAAGTCCATTTCTATATGTTTCCTTATACGACGTCATTCGGAGGTTATTATAATACGAGTTTTTCAAAAATTTTTACAAATTTAAATATTTTTTTTATTTAAACAGGTTTTTATAGATCATTGCCAGAAGATCGTTACGTATCGCCGTACATAAAAGTATTTAAACTCATGGTAGACGCATCGACGCAGCTGCTGGGACAATGAACTGTCAAACCGACTTTCAAATTAAAAATGTTGAATAAAATTTTTTTGATATTTGTAAAAAAATGTTGAAAAATTCATATCATAACAATCTCCAATTTGCATCATATAAGAAAAAGTATAAAAATCTACTTATTTTTGACAAAAGTAAATTTTTGACATATCGATATTCCCAAGCGTTGATGCACATGGTAGAAGAATATAGGTAGATGCATCAACGCTTGGGAACATTGATATGTCAACATTTCTAAAATGTTTTATGAAAAATAAGTGTTTTTTTATACGACGCAAATCAGAGGTTGTTATAATATGAATTTTTTTTAACAATTTTTAAAAATTTTAATAATTTTTCATTCAAAATTTTCAATTCCAAAATCAGTTTGACAGTTCATTGTCCCAGCAGATGTGTCGATGCGACTACCTGTATTCTTCTACCATGGTTGATGCATCTATCTATATTCTTCTACCATGATTAAAACTTATCAACCGTATTCGCCGCTAGCCTTCGCTCTGTTCACAAAATCGGGGTATCTCCCTTTAATAAATGAATTAATTTAATAATTCATAAACTGCAAGTGCACATATTCTCCCATTACTAATTTCTAAACTAGAGTTGTTCAGTTAAATCTTGTCTAAAAACCATGTATTGTCTAACATTCGACAAAATCATTAAATTAAATAATAATACGTTTAGACTTCCCATAATTCAGGTTTCAAGATATGGCGTTTTTCGAAACATAAGATATTTCTATGGGGTAGAAAATGGTGGCAAAAAATCTACTTGGCATATAGATCCAACAATTAATGAAACCGAATGCACGGTACTAATTTTTGTCGAGTTGGATAGTGCAGACGAAAATGGCACCGCGTTCCGTGTTACGCTAACCACAGAAACAGATGGATTTAACACAATTACCAGGAGCATAGAAATCGGAGACGATAGGGAAGGTACAATATGTGTAAAATACAAAAAAATTTCGGACATAAGAGATGTTTATATAAAATTTGAAAATCTATCCAAAGAATCCCCCGAATGCAACATGACCCATGACTTCGCCAAGATATTGGCTAGTGAAGAATTCAGCGATGTGACCCTTGTCACAGCAGATGGTACTGAATTTAAGGCCCACAGATTTGTGTTATGTGCCCGCAGTGAGGTCTTTGCGGCAATGTTCCGCAATGACTTCTCGGAGAGGAATACCAGCCGTATAACGATCGAAGACATGGATGCCGAAGTAATGCAAGAAATGCTAAACTATCTATACACTGATCGGAAAATACCAAAGCAAATGGCTCCAGCACTATATACGGCAGCTAATAAATACGCCTTGTTGCATTTACAGGGCATGTGCGAACAAGTATTAATCGAAACAATGGATGTGGCTTCAGTTTTGGAAGAAGTCATGAAACAGCGTTTGTAGTTTTATAAGCACATATGTATGTGTGTTTAGCTACGCACACGTCCGTATAAAACATCAATTTTTTTTCCATTCTGGACATTTTCTAATTCGCTGGAATTCCAAATTCCTCATGATCTTATATTAAATGTCAAATCGAAATTATTTATCTTATCCGTCTTTTATAAAAAGCCTCAATAAATATAAACCACTTTGTGCATAATATTTTCTTATCTCGAAACAATTGAAGAGAAATAATAGGTGTGTCTGGTTACTTTTCCTGCAGGAATTGTCCACTAACTTCTTTCTGAGAGAGTAAGGTATTTTTATTCTCTTTTGCAAGGAAAATGCGAAAAGTAAACAGACGGTATTCTTGCAAAAGCTTGCAACTAATCAGCTGATCAAATCAAAACAAACCAATTTGTCCCCCATAAGGAGAATTAAAACAAAGGAAGCAATACTAATTTTACAAGTTTTTTAAATAAAAATGTTAGGAATAGTCTTTTATTTTCTTATTACATATTAATATTTACGTTTTTCACATTTTGTAAAGTTTTTCTCCAAAAACAATTAGTCTTGCTAATTCCAAAAAAAATTGTTCAAATTGAAAGCACAAAAATAAATAAACAAACAATAGAAAACATCTGATTGAATGTCGATGAATGAGAAGAAGAAGAGTTGCAAGTGATTGCAAGAAGAAATTTTTCCAGCAAGAATTTGCAAACTCTCACTGAAAGAACTGTCAAAATTTCTCTCTCCAACCGCTCTCTTTTGCAGAACTTTTGAGTTAACAGACGACTTCCAGTAACAATTTGTAACAATTGTTACAAATTTTAGGGTAACCAGACACATCTAATATACAAAAGACATACAGATCATAAGGCAAAAGGAAAACCAAATGACAGCTAACCGCGGAAGAAGTTGGAAAAAATCAATGAAACGTCGTTTCAAACCATATATTTGTGGCAACGGGTTTTCTGCATAATTTTCAATTCAAAAATTGGCTTGAGATCGGGCACACATAGAAGAAAATGGAAATCTCTGAACGGAGCAATTGAGAATATATTGACATATTTTCAGTGCCATCTACCGAAATAGCATATTTTTTATCACACGTCTACCCATGCTTTCAATAGAGATGTCATTTTTGTCGCAGGTCTTCCTTAAAGTAGTAACGGACATTTCTTCTTCTTTCCAAATATGTAAAAGAAATGGTAGCCACAACTGATGCCATTATAACGGTTTCTGCGATTGAAGCGCCTTTTGCTGTGACTACGCAAATCCAAAGACTAGTTTAACGTTTCTTGTTTTTTTTGTAAAAATGGATAAAATAATGAATTCCAAAGACAAAGCCACTCCATTGACCACGAAAAAGCTCTATCAAGTACATCCTGAAATGGAAAATGTTCTAATTGTAGCCATGGTATTGGGTAAGACGGAACCAAATATATTTCTATCACGAAATGACACGCAACATAAAGGCGTTATGACTTTTACACTACGCGATGCTCCACAACACGTTGTGAATTGCAAATACTGGGGTACACGAGAAAAGGTGGAGGAACTAGACGGGCAAATTCAATTGGGAGATATTGTCGATGTTGTGTGTCCCAAAATATCGTTAATTCAAAAATCCGATGCCTTGGAATCCAAGCAGGCACAATTTCAGCCGGTAAGTTCATTGCCGGTGACACTGGTGGTTAACGAGGGTCAGGGCTTGATAGAGCGCCACAGCTATCATGATTTGGAAAAATATACTGAAATTCGACTACTGGCCCATCAGTCGCATAAACCTTTGTATTCTGTCATGAATTTGGCAGATGTACAGACATCGTTTAGCGATTCCAAGGCCCAGGCATTTCATACGGATTTTTTGGTTGTTGTTGGCCTGGTGCGAAAAGCTCGAGAAATTCGTGCCACCAAGGAAGGCAGAGCCCGCCGTTGCTTGGAAATTGTGGTGTTCGATCAGAGTCTAACAAGTGGCCTGACATTTACCCTTTGGCACGCAGATTGGATAAATCGTGCTGAAACCGTCTGGCAGCCAATGAAAACGGTGCTACACCTAATCGATGTTAAAGTGTCCTACTCCAGCTTCTATAAAGGCTGTATTTTGAGTTTCACATCAAAGAGCCTGCTCTATGAAAATCCTGTGGGCACTGAGACCCAACATTTGAAGACATTTGCCTCGACATTAGCCAGAACACCGTTTGATTTGGCCGTCCACAACAATAGTGCTGATACCTTGCCTAAAGGTAATTTGAGGGAGCAAAAAGTTTGGGAAAACACCTAAATTATTTTCGTAATTTTTAGCTGAGGATATACAAACGGTCATGACTGTACGACAAATTTATGCCAGAGCCGAGGGCCATCTAAGGGATACCAATGAGCATTTTACCGCCAAATTGTATGCCATGGTAACACGGTTTGAGGTAGATTGGCCGGATCGTGTTTTGAGTAAGAAATGGTAAGTAGATACAATATTTAATGGAAATTCTGCTAAATGTTTGTCTTCCTAGCAAATCATGCAATCGTTATATCGCAACGCGCAAAGATCTATGTGACAATGAACAATGCCAGCTTTCGTTTTCCCTTGGCTATACCGGGCAAAAATATGATTATTTTTTCAACATTAACCTACAGCTAAGTGATCACACTGGCACCCTAGTCGAAGGCCGTCTCACAGATGCCATTGCCATGAAAGTGCTGTCCTTTAATTGTGACCAATACCTAAAACTTAACCCCCAAGAATTGGAGCAATTGAAATGGCGTTTTCTCCTCAATAACGTTGAGGCGAAACTACTCATTAAGAAATCGAATGTGTTGAGACGTAAAATGATGGCGATAATAATTGATTTAAGGCCAATTGAATTGGAACAATTGAGTGATAATATAGCTGTATTTTAGAATCTAAGTATTAATGATATTCATATTCATATTTTCTTCATCACTGCCTGGTGCGGCTGGTGGTGTGGGAAGATTTCCCATGCTATGATGTGTAGTAAGTTCCATTTCAAAATCTGTTAAATCCATAATGTATTCACGTTTCTGACGCTTCTTATCTGTTTTTAGTACATGATCTTGAAAACTATTGAAAATATCGCGAAATTCTTCATCGGAGGTTATGATACGTAAAAATTCATCAGGATTATCGGGATCCAAGGGTTCGGGTGCAATTTTTTCCTTTTCTTGAGCCTCAATTAAAGTTTTTCTTTCCAAATCAGCTGCTGTCAGACGATGTTTTAATTTGATTTCTTCAACACGACCTTCGAGTAGCTTGCAACGTAACTGTTCCCGCTCAAACATCTGGAAATTAAATTAATGGAGCATTTACCAGACGAATAAAAGAAGGCCAATAGGTTTCCGGCATCCTGTGAAGAATTAGTTTTGTGGAAGATAAATGTATCTTTATTTCGAAGACGAAATGTCTTTATATCCGAATATTTCTTTTGAAGGAGTTTTTTTTTATCATTTATAAAAATATTTTGTTATTTTTCTAGGAGATCTTCTAAAGCAAGAAAAGAAGAGAATTCCCGCCTTGTCTTCTATGAGAATTCTATTTTTATATTTTATAGAATGCCAGTTTCAAGTAAAGACAGATAAGTCGATTTTGAGACCATTTGGTCTTTTTTCCGTCATCTAAAAGAGAAGACCATCTAAAGAAGGAGACAAAACCCATTATATGAAAGACGAAAAAAGGTTTTTTTTTCAAAGAGAAGACATTGAGAAAATCTGCTGGTCTTAAATGATAAGACTGTTAATCTCCAATATCGGCCTCCATAATGAAAACCCAGTCATATCCCATAAGAAAACAAGCGTTGACAGAAGATGTCGGTCTATCTTTACAATTAAAACCAAAAAAGATTCCACAATATTATCCTAAATTCTCGTAATGGTACCGAAAACCTTACTGGTAATCTTCTAGGGATGTAAAACCTTTTAAATGCTCTCAACTACTCCTTGAATAATAGAAAGCCTAAATCCCCACTTACCGCCACCATAAGACCCTTATCCTTGCTGCTACTCTGTTTCATGGCCTTATCCATTTCCAGTATTTGTATATCTCCATTTCCCAAACCAACCGCCAAATATTCTCCATCCGGACGAAATTTCACACACAAAATTCTCGCGGAAAATTTCATGGAAAATATAGATTTCCTTTGATTCAATAACATATCCCAAAAATCCAATTCTCCCTCGCTGTCACCGGTCACAAAGAGCGAACAACGAGCCGTACTCCAACTTCCACATAGAATCTGATTGGATTTCTTGATCAAAAATGTCAGCGGCGAACCCTTACATTCCTCGGCCCATATTTTGGCACACCAATCGCCGGTGATTAGAAAATTCTTTACAAAAAATGGATTCCTTTCCACCGTGCGTATGGGCCCATTGAACAAGCGATAATTCCCAGCTGCCAAGGTTTCCATTGGTGTCATGCCTTTGCGATTACCAATGAAAATACTGCCCATATCAGTGCCAACAATGAAACGTATCGGTATGGTGTATTCGAATTCCATGACAGTTACACCATGTGAACGGCTGCGCATTTGGTCATCAGTCATTTGCGGATCCATTAGTAGTTCTTGTATGGGTTGTTCTAAATCCCGGCCATCCCAATATTTGACGGAACCATCATGGGAACCGGTATAGAATTCCGTATTGGTTTTGGAATGGACCCAGCAAAGAGCTGCGGCTGGTTCACGATGGGCTGCTTCTAAGGGGCAAATGCTAACCGGTTGGCCACCCATTCTAGAATTCCAAATGCATATTTTGCCCGACTGCAAGCCTCCAGCAATCCAATTTTCATCTTTGGGACAGTAGAGCGTCTTCAAAACCTTGTCATCACAACTGAAGCTGGTCATGGGTTTCAAGGGATTCTCTAAATTCCAAATATAAAAATCATTGGTATTTTCAATTTTCTCCTGTTTCACCAATGGAGTTAGGAGTATTAACTTCTTTTTGCCATCATCTTTCTCCTTGGGTTTATCTTTTTTGTTACTCTCCCCCGGCATTCTCCTTGCCAATGGAATATTGCTGTGCAATACCAGGAAACGTCTGACATCATTGGGGGTCCAATCAATAACCGCAATAGGTCTGCGTATTATTTCTGGATCATGAAAAATATTCTTTTGTCTCGCCTCAAAGGCAGTCCTTATCGAATCCCCAGCTTCTGAGGGTAAATCCAAAAAGAAATCCTCATAGATATTCACGGTATTATTCTCCTCAGCCACATCAAGTGATTGATGAATTAACCCCACAACTTGACCACCCCAATTGTCATCACGTTCGATTTTCTTACGATGCCTAAGCGTAGCCTCTTCATCTTTGATATTAACTTCACGCGGCCAGCCACCCTCATAATGATACATTCCATGATCGGCCAGGCTAACATTTTCCGTTTCCATTATGCTATAGGCCAGCTGGCGACTCAATTGGGTACCCTGATGTACGGGATTGCGTAAAATGTATTGACATCTTTGTCTTTTGCTGGGATTAATGCTTAGCATTAATTGATTGCGATCGCTGAATAGACATTGACGTCCGAAACGTCGACGTTCTCGGGTGTAAACAAATTGATTGGCCGAGTGCATTTTGGGTAATGGGAAATGAAATGAAATTGATTTGAAGTATTTTTTTCCTTCAAATTTCAGATGTTTAAATTTATTTCAAAGGGACCATGTGAAAAAAATCGAAAACTTTTTGTTTAAAAAAATACTAAAGGTTTTATTCAATATTTGTTAATTAATGCTTCATTGGTAGTTATCAAAGTTAGCGATTTCTTTTGTTCGGAGACACATTGTGAAATTTCCTGCAGAACATTTCATCCTTTAAGATTATTCCTCTAAAACGAAGAATTGTGGGAAATTTCGGTCAATATTAAAACTGAAAAAAAGTTGACCAAAATGGACTTTGATGCTATTTTCGATATTTTTTGCTTCAAAAAAATTAAAAATTATGGCGTTCCCCAGATAATGTAGAAAAATTCCCCCCAAAAATATTCGTGAATTTTAAAATTAAAACACTTTTCTTCAAAATTTACATAGATAGAATTGTAGTTGTTGTTGTTTGTGTTTTTTTATTAAAAGCTGCTATTTTTAACTTAAGTTTAAACATTTGTTTTTCATATAGAATTAGTTGTTACTATATATATATCAATGTTTTCTTCTTTACTTTTGTTATTTAAACAGGACTTTTTTTTCAAAAAACAAAATTAATTTTTTGTTTTTGTTTTTCCAACAATCAAATTAACACGCTATCAACGATATGTATTTATAATTCGAAAGAAGAAGAAGAAAAATTACAAACAAAAAAGAAAAACGTTATAAACAATAGGTGTGTCTGGTTAGCCTAAAATTGTTACAAATTGTTACTGGCAGGCGATTGCTAACCCGAAAGTTCTGTAAAAAAAAAAAGGAGAGCGGTTGGTGAGAGAAATGTTGACAGTTCTTTCAGTGAGAGTTTGCAAATTCTTGCTGGACAAATTTCTTCTTGCAATCACTTGCAACTCTTCTTCTCATCATTCATCGACATTCAATCAGATGTTGTCTAATGTTTGTTAATCTCTTTTTGTGCTTTCAATTTGAGAATACTTCTCTTTTTTGGAACTAGCAAGACTAATTGGTATTGAAGAACAACTTTACAAAATGTTAAAAACGTAAATATTAATATTTATTAAGAAAATGAAAGACTATTTTCAACATTTTTAGTCAAACTCCATTAGCAACACGTTTAAAGGATTCCAGGGAACACATCAAACCTATCTCTCTTTTATTGCTTATATTTTTATTTTATTGCCAATTTCCTTTTTATACAGAGCCGCTCTAAAATCCTGCCGTCGTTTGACAATAATATGCCTAGTCATGACGTCAAGCTTTTTATGTACTGGCACCTTTACTCTCCCAGAAAGATGTTGCTGGACAATTGCTACAGGAAAAGTAACCAGACACACCTAATATTGCTTTTGTAAGGCAGAATCATGGTAGAAAAATACAGGTAGATGCATCAACGCTTGGGAGCATTGATATGTCAAAAATTGTTTAAATTTCTTTTCAAATATAAGTTGATTTTTATATGTTTTCTTATACGACACAAATCGTGGATTGTAAAGATATGCATTTTTCAACAATTTTTACAAGTTTAAACATTTTTTCATTCAACATTTTCAATTCCAAAATTGGTTTGACAGTTCATTGTCCCAGCAGCTGCGTCGATGCGTCTACCTATATTTTTCTACCATGGGCAGAACATTTTTAAAATTATCTTAAATATAAATTTTTTAATATTTTTGATTTTTTTTTCAAAGACATTGTTTTGAATTTCATTATAAAAATAATAATAAAATAAAATGTGCAAAGTTTTGCCGGAAGAAAACATGTTTTTTTTGGCAGAGGGACTGAAAACTTAGGGTGGAAATACATAAAGTGCATATTTGGCTGGCTTCTTCGTAGATGAACAAAAGGAGTTTTAGGTTGACTTAGTTCGATTTTGGTCCTAGGCTCCTTTTTCATTTCCGAAAAAGTCAGCCGATGACTTAAGCCAGCCAGATAAGCGCTTTAGGTGTTCCCACCTTTAAACATCCCCCTTTCCCATAAAAGGCTGTTTTCTTATCCGTAAATTTTCCCCGTCTATTTAAGGACTATGGAAAAATAAAAAATAGAAGTTTTCACAACTAATTTGGCTGTTGGAAGTTATTTTCCAATTTTTTTTTTTTTTTTTTTTTTTTGATGAAATAAAATGTTAGTTATATCAAAACAATTTCAGACTTAACTATAAAGATTCATTAGAGTTGTACACCATAACTGATATAAAGTTTTGAAACAATATGCTCTAGATATCATTACAGCGAACAAAAAAAAGAGAGTGGCAGAGAATGATTCAATTATTTAACAATTTTTCTTTCTTTTTTTTTGATTTGAAAACATATTTTCTTTTGGTTTGCATAAATTTCAAAATTACAAACATATTTCATATTAATTTTACCACAGTTTTGCGTTTTTTTTTTTTTTTTGTTGTTTGGTTTTATTTTTTTTTACAGTATTTGCATTCTACACATACAGTAGTTAATTCTAAGATTCTCACTTGATCCATACAATATTATTATATCACTTTTAGAAACATCTTTTCTCGGCAAAAACTTAATACTTTCTCAATTAATAGTTTTTTTTTCTTTTTCAAAATATATATTTTTTTGTTTTGAAATATTTGTGTATAGAGATAGATTGAGAGAAAAGACTTGCTTAAAATCATACCTAAAGTCTCTTACATTCAGTTCGTTCCTTCGATAACATATACATTTACATATATAATTTCCAATATTTTTTTCACTGTTTTTTTTTTTCTAGGTTATGTCAGTATTCATTTCATATTTGTTTATATCACCATGAGCTTTAATAATAAATAAAAAATAGATATATATATATACGTTTTGGGGAGGTTATTATTTTTCAACCTCGGAAAAATCTCCCTCAACAATAAAAAAGAAAATTTACAAAGAGAAAAATTTCAAAAATTGAGCCGGTGGCACTGGCTGTATCAACGTCAATTGGCTGCCGGCCTCCTCCAAACGTTGCTTATAATCCGGACTTTGATCGACAATACAGGGATGGCCATCGGAGGGCCAAAACAGGCAGCAACAATAGCGACACAACGACAGAATCTCAGCAAATTGATAGTCATCGTTTAGGCCATAGGTTCGCCTCAGCTGATGATAGAATTTCTTCCAATCCTCGACATCATTTAAACTTTTCAATTTATTTAATTCTAGAATCGAATCGATTTGATTTTGATTGAAATGAAAACGTATCAACTCGCGCCAAATGCGATGCTCATTAACCAGTTTCGACATGATTTTCCAGGCATCAGCAGAGGCCTAAAAAGAAAGGGAATTTATTAAAGAATTTTATTTGCAAAAAATTCCATATACCCACCTCCAGATCGCGATGATCGGCAATGCGCAATATAATCTCTCGTATACATTCTTCAGGTAAATCGTGCAATTTTGGACGTATTTCAGGGCCAGGCTAGAAGACAAAGAACAACAAAGAAAATAAGTAAAAGCCGATCTTGGAATACCCTCCACCATTTGGAACGATTTTGGCAATTTAAAAAAAAAAAGAAATAAAATTCGTTAAAATCTTAAAAATACCGATTGTAGCCGTTATATTAGGGTCTATACGGCGATGTGGACCTGCAACTTTTGTCATAAACCATTACAATATTCAAATGCGAAACTTGAATAAAAAATTCGGTACAGCTAAAATCCGAATATCGGCAGGTACCGTTATATGGGGGGCTGTGCGAAGACGTGGACCTGCACAGACAATTTTCTGTCATAGGCTGTAGCATCTGTTACGAACTTCAAATACGAAACTTTTAAAAAATTCCGGTAAATAATGTCGCTAAAATCACCAAAATACCGAAAAAAGGGAGGTACCATTATATGGAGGCTATACGAAGACGTGGACCTGCACAGGCAATTTTCTGTCATAGGCTGTAGTACCCATTACGAACTTCAAACCACAAATTTGAAACAATTCCGGTGAATAATATCGCTAAAATCATCAAAATACCGAATATCGGGAGGTATCGTTATATGGGGGCTATACGAAGACGTGGACCTGCACAGGGAATTTTCTGTCATAGGATGTAGTATTCATTACGAACTTTAAATACCAAATTTGGAACAATTCCGGTGAATAATGTCGCTAAGATCGTCAAAATACCGAATATCGGGAGGTACCGTTATATGGGGGCTATACCAAAACGGAGGCCTACATCACCCATTTTCAATACGAAAAGTCCTGCAGACATAATACATATTTGAGTAAAATTTTATCAACCTACTTCAGTTCGTTCGGAAGCTAGAGTGATTTTCACAGACGGATATACGGACGGACATCGCTAAATCGACATAGAATTTTATGCTGATCAAGTATATATATATATATATACTTTGTGGGATCTAAAATGTATATTTCAAGGTGTTACAAACGGAATGACAAATTTAATGTACCTTCCATACTATGGCGGAAGGTATACAAATTAGGGAATATAAATTGTCAAGTGGCCAGGCCACCTAAATTTGGTTAATTTCGGTAATCGTGAGAACATGGCAAAAGAAACACCATAAAGGGTAACGGCGTCAGAAAACTCGAGCGCCTCTGTTATTACTTTATAATTTGACATAAGGATAGTGGAAAATCATTTTAACCGTTATGTAGATAATGAAAAACCTTATCCACGTTATGTAAATAACAAAAATAAAATGTTATTTGAATAATGAATTAAGATTATCCACCATTATTAGCCATGGAGTGAATAATGGAATAATATTATCCACGTTTATTATATTTAGATAAATGTTAAAAAATATATATCCTCCTCTTACCTCCTTGATTTCAATTTGATTGGCTAGCTGTTGGATACGCTTAATGGTCTCGACGTGTTCCTGCCACAGATTTGAGCTACCCAACGGTTTGCCCCAACATTTTTGATTCTCCTGATAGACGATGTGTTGCAGCTGCAGTGCCAGGCCACGTAACACATTCAAATGTTGTTGGCTGTCACTAACTGGTGTTGCAGCAGCACAGCACAGCACAGCATGCAAACGGAATCACAATAAGGAAATGAAAAACAAACAAAAAAAAAACAACGTTTCAAATTAACGGAAATAAAATCAAAGTTTAATTTGTTCATTTCACCTACCATGTGAGGCCACCTCTTCGACCATTTGCAGCAGCTGCTTTTGGGCACTGCCCGATAAATTGGCAATACCTTTGTGGGCCACCAGCAGGCGCAGCAGTGCCACAATGTAATGGAAACGTCGTCGATCTCTCACCGAACTGCGGAAATCTAAACGTCGTACGGCTTCACCCAGTCCATTAAAACCGGCTATTTCGCGGGTACATCTAATGGTGATGTGGCAGTGTGGTGGTATGGTTTCCTCGTTGTTGTCATCACTTTCATAATTATCTTCGTTAGTGGATGGAAGTCTAAAGAGAGAGAGAGTAGAAAAAAAAACACAATAATGGAAATGAGTGCAAAATTAATTGTGAACGAGAGAGGGATAGAGACAGAGAGAGCAAAAACAATTACAGCCAAACAGGTGTAAATGAACTTTAGATTTGATTTTTGGTGAGACGGTGACACACGATCATATTTTGCTTCACTGAAAATTAGGTTGGTCGGTTGTTGTACCCCCGGTGGAAAAGCATAATGAACAGCAAGAAAACACCTTTCCAATGCTTTTCATTAACTGTAAGTGAGCAGCACTCGAAGCATGAAAATAAATTGAGGCAATAAATTTTGAAATGTTTGCCTAGAAAGCGGAACCATTGAAAATAATTGGGGGACATTTTTTGAAGGAAAAAAAATTAAAAAATATTTTCCTAGCAAAAATGTTTTGAAAACAACATACCGAACGGATGCCGTTTTTTTACAATAAAAATTAAAGAAAATCGATATCGATAAAAAATATTACCATTTTTTTCGATAACTAATTTTCTATAGAAGGTGTTATTCATTGAAAGAAAATTAGAAGTAAATGTTATCGATAACAATGTTTTTCATTGAAAATATCTATAAAAATATCAAAAAATGTTTTCGATATTAATATTTTACTTTATGAAATTAGAATAAGAAAAATATCGATAATATTTTGTATAGAAAATAACATAACAAATGCTTTGTTCCAGTACCAGCAAGAATCTACTAGTTTAGGAATTTTCTTCGATATCACAAAGGGAAAATCGCTTATCGTAGTAGAAACTTTTACATTCTGGCAGTTCTGGAACAAAACAAATGTTTTCCATTGAAATTGTGGATAGAAGTATTTTCGATGACATTTATTCTTATTAAAATTATTACCGATAATAGTATTATCTTTAGAAAATATTATCGATAACAACATTTGCTGTAGATAACATTTTCGATAATAATTTTTACTATAAAAAATCGATAACAATATTTTCTAAACAAAATATTATCGATAACATTACTTTCCATAAAAAAGCTCAATAAAAGAAATAAAACATATTTTCGATTCTAATAACTGCATCCTTCTTTTTTTGACATTTTTTTCGATATCATAAAGGGAAAAATCGTTTATCGTAGTAAAAACTTTTACATTCTTGCTGTTGTGGAACAGACCAAATGTTTTCCATTGAAATTGAGGATAAAAATGTTTTCGATAACATATATACTTATTAAAATTATTACCGATAACAGTTCTATCTTTAGAAAATATTATCGATGGCAATATTTTCTAGCAACGATATTATCGATAACAATATTTGCTATAGATACTATTTTCAATTGCAATTTTTGATATAAAAATATTGATAACAATTTTTGTCATAGAAAATGTCGATAAAAATAAAAATTATATTTTTGATAATAATATTTCTTGCCGAAATTATCTCACGATAACAGTATTTTCTTCAGAATATATTATTGATGACAGTAATATCGATGGAAAATATTATCGATTAAAATTGCTCTGTTCCAAAACATGCAAGAAAATGCAAGTTTTGCAATTTTTTTTTTCGATACCATAAAGGGAAAATTGAAAGTTCCAATAGAAAACTGTTTCGATATTAATAAATTCCATGGCGAAATCCTTGGTAAAATTATTATCATTTCAAATAAGCATACCCATCTCTGCATTTTCTGTAATTTACCTTGTCACATTTTACTACATAAAAACGGGGTCCAATCTCTGTGTTTGTTTATGTACAAGAGATTTATAAATACAAATTTTGACAATGAGCTATTGTCAAATTAATATTTTTGAAAAAAAAAAAAAATGTAAACATATGACTATACCTCCTTGATTCTACCATGGGCGAAATCTAACCGATGGTATTTTTTTCCAATAGAAAATCTTGCACAGTCCATTGTCATGACGCATCACATCTTCACTAATTAAGTTGCCGCTTCATTAACACTGCTCACAGTTCAGCAGAAATGTATTAATTTTCCATGTCTTTGCTTTTCCGAATTGTTTTTAAAAATAAAGGCAACAACTGTTGTTGTTCTTGTTGTTGCATTCGTTCTTTATTTAAGTTTAAAGCACCAACTCTATGGCGAAGATTATAAGGCCTGGGATGTATAATTAAAAGACAACAAGAGCAAAGCAACAACAAAAACAACAACAATTTACAATATGCATATCGAATAGAAACAGAGAAAAAAAAACAAGAGAAACAAAATCCAAACAACTCCAAATGTATCTCTCATGGATGCCATTCTTTGTCGTTGTCTGCCTCTGTCTGTCCGTCGAGCTTTCTTTTTCTTTTATTTGGCTACTGAAGTTTGTTTCTGTTTTATATCTGAAAATGGGAATATTCTTCAGCTACTGGTAATGATGAGGAAAACAGAATTTATTTTTATACATTTCTCTAGGCTTACGTCTGTTTGTCCGTCTGTGTGTGTATATGAATGTGTTTACATATCTTTCTATGGTGAGTGCGCTGCATCCTAGAGTGCAGCCAAGGCAGAAGGGACTATGTTCAGCAAAAAAAAAATATATATAAACCAAAAGGTAAACGAACGTTTGATGACATGACATCATGCATCGTCGTTCAGTTGTTCAATGATTTATCATGCACAGAGTCCGGAATTTTTTGGAAAATCGGTCATATTTTTGTTTTCTTTTTTGGTAAAATTTTCAGAGAAATGCCTGTGTTTATTTATAGAGCTAAGAAGTAATATTTGGAATATAATGCAGGATATACGACACAAATATGTTGTGGCGACAATTTTTTCGAGGGGTGAAACTATTTTAAGAAAATTTGAGGTATTTTTGTTACCGGATATTGTGAACAACAATATTTTCCCGAAAAAAAATTGAACAAAGTGAATTGAAAAATAGAAATATCAATCGATATCAACAATTATTGCGAAAAAATCTAACCATAATATGTGGTAGAATCAAGAAGGTAAAGTCATGCAATCATATGTTTACAATTTTTGTCAGAAATTATTCATTTGACAACATCTAATTGTCAAAATTTGTATTTATAAATCCCTTGTACATACACAAACGCAGAGATGGGAACCTGTTTTTATGTAGTGACAAATGCATGGTAGAAGAATATAGGTAGACGCATCGAAACAGCTGCTGGGACAATGAACTGTCAAACCAATTTTGGAATGGAAAATGTTGAATGAAAAAATATTTAAATTTGTAGAAATTGTTGAAAATATGAATTATAATAACCTCCGAATGACGTCGTATTAGAAAACATATAAAAATCTACTTATATTTGAAAAAACATTAAATTTTTTTGACATATCAATGCTCCTAAGCGTTGACGCATCTACCTGTATTCTTCTGCCATGGAAAAATGTGACAAGGTAAATTACAGAAAATGCAGAGATGGGTATGCTTATTTGAAGAGACGTTATTTTCTTAATTTTACTATGCCATAATACTACGTTCCTTAGAAAATCTAACAGATTTTATTTAGATTTATTTTACGTATCGATAACAATATTTATCTCCAAAAATATGGTCAATAACAATATTTTCGATAACAAAATATTCTTTTGAAATATTTTCTATTAAAAATCTTAAAGATAGAAATATTTTTTACGGAAAACCTAACCGATAGTAATATTTACTATCGAAAACCTTATCGATATCAATAGTTTCTACATAAACCCCTACCGATAGTAATATCTTCAATCGAAAATCTTAACGACAGTACTATTTTCTATGGAAAATTTCACCGATAGTAATATTTTCTATCGAAAACCTAAACGATAACAAAATTTTCTATAGAAAACCCTGCCGATAGTTACATTTTCTGTAGAAAATCTTATCGATAGTTATATGTTCTATCGAAAATCTTATCGAAAGTAATATTTTCTATAAAAAGTCTTACCGATAGTAATATTTTTTTTCGAAAATCTTATCGATAGTAATATTTTCTGTAAAAAATCTTACCGATAGTAATATTTTTTATCGAAAGTCTTACCGATAGTAATATTTTTTATCGAAAATCTTATCGATAGTAATATTTTCTATCGATAGTTATATTTTCTGTAGAAAATCTTATCGATAGTAATATTTTCTATAAATTATCATACCGAAAGTAATATTTTCTATAGAAAATCTTATCGATAGTAATATTTTTTATAGAAAATTTTATCGATAGTAATATTTTCTATAGAAAACCTTACCGATAGTAATATTTTCTATCGAAAACCTAACCGATAGTTTTATTTTCCATAGAAATTCTTATCGATAGTAATATTTTCTATAGAAAACCTTACCGATAGTAATATTTGCTATCGAAAGTCTAACCGATAGTAATATTTTCTATCGAAAACCTAACCGATAGTAATATTTTCTATAAAAATATTATCGATAGTTGCATTTTTTGTAGAAAATCTTACCAATAGTAAAATTTGCTATCGAAAATCTAACAAATATAGTCGATAGTAAAATTTTCTATGATATATGTTTGGCAGGTAACTGCCTTGTTCCAGTACCTGAAAGAATCTTCTATTCTATGAAAACTCTTACCAATAATAATATGTTATCGATAATATATGTTTGCTCTGTTCCAGAACCTGCAAGGTTTGTATTTTTTTTTCTAGATCATTAAAGAATTTTTGCAATTCTGGAACAGAACAAATATTTTCTATAAAAAAATTGCCGATAGTAATTTTTTTTATAATATTGACAAATAGTATTTTATTCCAATGATGGTCAAACTACCATTACCCTCTATCTAATTGCTATTCTGCTCACATTTCAGTATTTTACTGCAGCAAACAAATGCAAGGATATTTACAAAAAGTATACAAACCTACTATGCACACATATACGACAAGGACATTATGGCCGAGCCAGTGACGGTCGGTTGGTTTGTGGTTGGTAGAGAGACTGAAAGAGTGTCAGAGTATCGGCTGGCACAACGAAAATCTCGCCTCAGCAACCCCAAATCGAATCACAACGCTGCAATGACCTTAAATTGGTGAAGGT